GCATCCTCCCGGTACTGTGCCCCTCCTGCCTGGCACAGGGCTGAAATGCTTTGCTTACCTTGCCTCATGTAGTCCTTACAGATGTTTAGGGTGGATGGTATCCCCGTTTTCCACACTAGGAGGCCAAGGTCTAGGTGACCGTGACTCAAGCTGTGTGTCCAGCACATAGGTGTGCGTCAGGGTACTGGCATGCTCACAGAGGAAGCCGAGCAGCTTCCTGTGCCGGCATGGAGGTGGCACTGACGTGAGCACTGAGCCTGGAAGACGTGTGCTCTCGGAGGGAGGACACCTGGCCTGAGGGGTCGTGAGTGGGAATTTGCTCCATGACAAATGGGAGGGGAGGGGGAGAACGCCTGAAACGAAGGCACTGTGTGTGTGCTTTCTACCCAAGGTAGGAAGAACTTGACACAGGGGAAAAGAGCTGTTGAAGAGAGGCTAGTGTGGGAGAGCATAGCCGCCAGTCACGAGTGAGGCAAGGTAGGGCTGAAGAGGGATGCGGGCCTGACTGTCCAGGGCTGGCATAAGCCTTGGCCAGAGTTCGGGCTTTAGCCTAAGGGCAAGATTTTCTCTTTTTCTTTCTTTTGTTTTTTTGAGATGGAGTCTTGCTCTGTCACCCAGGCTGTAGTGCAGTGGCGTAATCTTGGCTCACTGTAACCTCCACCTCTCGGGCACAAGCAATTCTCCTGCCTTAGCCTCCCAAACAGCTGGGACTACAGGAGCCTGCCACTATGCCTGGCTAATTTTTACATTTTTAGTAGGGATGGCATTTCACCACATTGGCCAGGCTGATCTCAAACTCCTGACCTCGTGATCCATCCACCTTGGCCTCCCGAAGTGCTGGGACTACAGACATGAGCCACTGTGCCTGTCTGCCCTTGAGGGATTTTAAGCAAGGCATAAAGGAATTGGACTTTAGTTTTTAGATCATCCTGGCCATAGAGGGAAGACGGTTGGAATGGGGTGGGGAATGTAGCACTGGTCAGCACCAGAGGCTCAGCCTTGCTGGTGACAGTGGAGAAGAGAGGGCAGATAGGAGACACTTAGGAAATGGCGTTGGCAGCTTTTAGTTACACTGGCCTGGGTAGGGGCCATGAGAGATTAGAAGTCGTGGATGACTCCCAGGATGGTGTTAAGTTAGGGTGGGTTTAAAGAACATAGTGTGGTGTCATTTGCTGGGGTAGGGAACGCTGAATCAAGTTGAGTTGTGGTCCCTGAGTAGGGGAATCAAGATGTCAGCTCGACAGATGGAGCATCTGTCCTTTTGGAAAAGAAGAGGTCAGGGCAGGAGGCAGCTTTGTGAGTTGCCGGCACAGAGGCACAGGGTAACTCGTGGGAGTCAGAGGAGGATGCGGGCTTGCCTGAGGGGGAGGGACAAGGGCCTGAGGTACAGCCCTGAGGAGGTGGAGCGGACACACCGGTAGGGATCAAAGGAGGACAGGCCCCTATGAATCAAGGACAGAAATCTGAGGAGAGGGATGTGGCTGATGATGCTAGATGATGCTGTGAGTGTCGGCAGGAGCAGGCCTGGAAATGAAGGGTTTCCGGAATATCGAATCATAGAGGCCACCCAGGCAAAATCAGTACTTAATGGGGCAGGGGACAGATTCTGGATTGGAAAGGACTGAGACAGGAAGAAGGGAAAACATCAAATGTAGACAAAATCTTCTATTAGCTGTAAGATAATGGTTGAAAACAGGGCTTTTTTTTTTAGGTGGGAGAAACTTGGGCTCGAAAATACAGGGCAGAGTGCATAATCAATTGGATGGGGTCGCTGGGTGGGTATGCATGGGGGTTGGAGTGTACGGATGGGGTAAGTGAAGGGTCTGCTCTGCTGTGGCCCATGGCTGTGGGGTGGGGGTAGCGGGCGGCTGTGCCCATAGGCAGACTTTGTGCCTGAGCCTGGCCATGCCCTGCAGAACATTCTAGCTTGCAGCATCTCAGAGATGGCTTATCCTGGATTTTCACTTCACTTTCTCGGCCTCCCTTTGCTTTTAGAAGTGGAGGGTTTGGTCTGGAAAGACTGACAGTGCTACGTGGGCGCTGGGTAGGTTGTGTTTCGAGGGTTGTCGGACACGTGCTTGGAAGGCCAGCCAGCAGCTAGCGGTTGGGGCGAAAGAGGGTCCGAACAGGTGATGCTTGAGTTGAGTCCTGAAGGAAGGTGACAAGAGGAAGGAAGTTTCTGGCAAAGGATAGCATCCACAAAAGTCTCAAGGCCAGTGAGAGGGTGTGTATGTTCAGGAGATGTGTGGGGAAGGAAGGGAAATTGAGATCAGGAGTTGTCAAGATGTTTGGGGACAGTGAATGATTTTCACGTTACATGTAGGATAATAAAGGAGTTTACATATGATACATACAGGATTTTAGCAGTTTCCTAAATTTAGGAGTACCAATTCTGAGTATAGTTTTCTCCATTAAATACATCATGGGGGCCGGGCGCGGTGGCTCACACCTGTAATCCCAGTACTTTGGGAGGCTGAGGTGGGCGGATCACCTGAGGTCAGGAGTTTGAGACCAGCCTGGCCAACATGGAGAAACCCCCGTCTCTACTAAAAATGCAAAAATAGCCGAGTGTGGTGGTGCATGCCTATAATCTCCAGCTGAGGCAGGAGAATCGCTTCAACCCGAAGGAGGAGGTTGGGGTGATCGTGCCATTGTACTCCAGCCAGAGCAACATGAGTGAAACTCCGTCTCCAAAAAAAAAAAAA